CCCTCATTTCGCCGAGTACCTGCATTGGGATGTTACAGAGGAGTGTGAAGTCCGCCTTGTCTGTAAGGTGAGATCAGGTCTAACAAGAAGGTGGGACTTGTTCCCTGGGGGCTGGGAGCCTCCAGGGAGGCCCGGAGGGTGAGGTGCACCGTGTTGGGTCAGGTGCAGGCGGACGGAGCGACTCTTGGGTCCCGGGAATGTTCTGGTTCTTAGACTTTCAGTGTTGTCTCGGTGCCAGCGCAAGGGCTGAATTATTTTAGAAGCTGGAACTTAGAAACGTGTTTGCCATTGTTAGGACTGATGGCTCTTCCATGAGCCTCTTTCTGAGTGTCTATAATAGAAGGGGGTTCTTTTTAAGATCTGTGATTTAAAAACCGGAAGGGACTTTTTTCTTACGAGCTGGAGTGATTCGCATACTGAACCTAAGGCTTCTGTCTCCCAGGTTGCAAACACCAAGAAAGAAACAGTCTTCAAATGGCTGAAGGATGATGCTCTGTACGAGACGGAGACTTTGCCCGACCTGGAGAGGGGCGTGTGCGAGCTGCTCATACCGAAGGTGCGTCGCGGTGCTTCAGAGAAGCCACGCAGGAGCCACGGAGCGGGGCTTTCCCACGGCTCGTAGGTGCCGCCTTAGCTCCCCCTTTGCATCCCAGGTTTCCACGGTTTGCAAAGGAACTGTGTTAGCGGCTACTACATTTTCTTTTTGAAAACATCTTAAAATACGTTTTTATTGATTCCAGAGAGTTCAGGAAAGGGGCGAGAGAGAGAAAGAGAGAGAAACATCAACGATGAGCGAGCCGTTGATCGGCTGCCTCCTGCGGGCCCCCTGCTGGGGACCGAGCCTGGAACTGGGCCTGTGCCCCGACCGGGAACCGAACTGCCGTCTCCTGGCTCATAGGTCGATGCTCAGCCGCTGAGCCACGCTGGCCGGGCAGCGGGTATTACATTTTATATTGTGACGTTGATTTTAGCTGCCTGCGGAATGTGCTCTATTTGTAGTTGTCGAAGAAGGACCACGGGGAGTACAAGGCCACCCTGAAGGACGACAGAGGTCAGGACGTGTCTGTCCTCGAGGTGTCGGGAAAACGTAAGTGAGGCCTCCTTTGTCCTGCCGAGGAGAATCCGTTTTGCCAACGGGACGAGACTTTCTTTTAGCCCCTTCATTTGTGTCCTTGGCTATCGGACCCATTGTTTTTTAGCAGCAACAGTAAAAGAAAATAGATTTGTACTTTCGCTGCATTCAAAGCTGTTTCGGTGTTTTAGGAAAACCTAGGCTATTATTTTTGGGTTCCTGTGAAATGTCATGTTGGTCCACGATCATCAGCCGCGTTTCCCCCCATTTCCGATGCCATTAAAATGGTTGAAACCGCGACGAAGCGATTTGGTCGCACTGTTGGATGTCTGTTGAGCGAAATGTTCTTGTTCCTTGTTTAAGAAGGGAGTTGGCCGGGAGGATTTATGACACACGCCAGCCTTTTATGGATAAATGTGGCCCTTTCAATGTGTCCTTTCCCAAACGAACGTCTCGGTTTCCTGTGTCAAGTTAATTAGAGGCGAAGAGGGGGCTCTCTGATAAGATTGCGGCGGTAACGGTGCCTCTGCTTTCTCCGTTCAGTGTACGAGGACATGGTTTTGGCGATGAGCAGAGTCTGCGGTGAGTAAATGACTTTCCATTTTCCAGTCATTTTGGGGGCAAACATCCCTGCTTCCCAGGATGGGCATCAGCCCTGCAGGGAGTTAAGGGGACCGAGGGGCCCGTCCTGCAGGGGCCCAGAGGGAGCGGAAGAGCCGTTGGTTATCCGACGGCCCCTCGAGGGTGTTTGCCGGGCTCTTCAGCATCGTGTCTAGAATCTGTCTTATGAACCTTGCTCGTTCATCACGCGTCCCGTGTGACTGGGCCCCTTGCGTTTCTGCACTTTCCATGCTGAGCTGAAAGGGAGACAGCGGATGGAGGAGCCGTCGAGTGCGAGGTATCCCCCTTAACTGGAGCTGACAGGACGTTCGGGGGTGCACTGGTTTTGCAGAATCTTAGACGAGACCACGGGGTGTTCCCACGACAAGCGAGTCACGAGAATTGTGCGGTGTCGTCTCAGCCGCTCAGTTCACTCCCCGCAGGGTCGAGGGGCAGCTGAGCTCCTGGGTCCCTCCGAGCCCCACGTCCCCTCTGACGCCTCGGGAGTCTCTCCTCTTCACATGACCTGCATTTCTAAGACATCATCACGCACGTAATTCTGCCTGGTGAAATGCTGTTTAGCAAAAGTCGAAATGCTCCTTGAGCCCTTGCAGTAAGGCCCCATGACGGTGCAGTCGATGTAAAATCAGGCGGTGGGAACGGGCCTGCTGGTTACTGTCGGCCTGGTCGGCATCGCTCTTGGGGCTCAGGCTTGTGACCTGGTTACTTGGAACGTGAGTCCGTGGGCCTGTCCTCTCTGTGGTCCACAAGGTCAATTCTCCACTGGCTGTCAGGCTGAAAGGAGCTGCCTGCCTGCGAGGGGACATTTTAACCCGTTCGCAGGGCTCGCTCTTCTGTATTGAGAGAAACTGCCAGGTGTGATTCGTGCATTTGTGCTGAGAAATTTTCTGGAATTTTGTTCCCTCTGTCCCTCTGTGTTTCTTCGGGACGTTGTTCCCTCCTCGCTGCTGGACTGGGAAACCTCTGGGCTCCTGATCGCCCACCAGCTCCACGTGTTCTCTGAACTTCCCACCATCGGCCTTTGGCCGGACGACCGCGTTTCTGTAGTTCTGTGTTTAAGGTGTGTCGTCGGCTGCTCTCGGTGCCAGGTTGGGAGCTCAGGTCTCAGTCCATTCTCCTCCCCTCCGAGTTTTTTTTTTTTTGTTTTTTTAAATATACCTTTGTTGATTTCAGAGAGAGGAAAGGAGAGGGAGAGAGAGAGAAACATCAATTATGAGAGAGTCATTGATCGAGCCCACAACCCGGGCATGTGCCCTGACCGGGAATCGAACCCCGATCGCTTGGATCCTAGGTTGACGCTCAACTGCTGAGCCACGCCTGGCCGGGCTCCCCTCCAATTTTAACGCACGTGACAAAATTCTACAGGGAGCAGGGTGGAGACAGGGTAGTAAAAGGCATTTCTGCTGCTCTCCTTGGGCTTCAGCTATGTTCCTGGCTCCTAGCAAATCTCGGGCATGCCAAGCACCCTGGGTCCCAGCCACATCTTCCTCTGGTTCTATCTTTAACTCTCCTTCTCTGTCTTCCTTGAGCCCACGAAAAGCAGGACAGAGAAGAGGAGGGGAGGCTGGGTGTCCCCGTGGCTGTTGGTTTCATTCGTTTCCCTGCCCCTAACCTGCGCTTGGGACCCCTGGACCATGGAGTAAAATTCCTCCCTGTGAGACACGCACAACATTTCATTGTCATAAAAAACAACACAGCGCACATCTTTGGGCAAAGAAAGGCTTTTTCAATATTTGGGATTATTTCCTTTGACTGAGCTCCCACAAGTACTATGATATAGAAATACCGTGAGTATTTTCGAGTCACGATATAAATTTCCAGTTGCTTTCCGACGTTGTGGAGTAGAGGGCTAACAGGCCTCTTCTCCACAACACCCCATCCATGGCGTGTCATCATATTGTTTTCTTTCATTTTTGCCAATTATAGAAATATTATCTTCTACACGAGGGAATATCATGAGTTTATACAAATTCTGTAGTTTTCGACACAGTACGGTCCCTGGTTCAAGTTCAGAGCTTTAGCCGTAATCATGGGCTGCTTGTTTATGATCTGCCTCCTGACCCCCCTCAAACCACCCGCCCCCATCAGACCAGGTCAGTCTAGTCCATAGTCCAGACTCAGTGGGGACGTTCTCACTGAGGTTTTTCCTTTTGCTTGTGGGTTCTTCTGCCCCCTCCCCCCTTACCCAGTTTTTACTGACTTGTCCTGTGTCTCCTTGGCCCCTTCCTGGGTCCTTTCTGCTCCCTTGTCCCGTTTGCTGATTTTCTGCAATCCTGGGTTCTGGATCAATGAACACAGCCCTTCCTGGGTCACAGAGCCATCCCCCCCCCCCGCAG